TGAAGACATGAATGGTGTAACTATACTTTGTGTACAACCAGAGATATGAAAAATTGTGCTCTTTTTTCACATGAATTGTAATGCATTCTGCTATCATATATAACAAATCAGAATAAAATATAAAAAAATGGGGTGCCTACATACCTTGTACTATTAGGCACAAAACTATAAAATCAGGGTGATGAAGACAACTAGTTTTCATAGAATTATTCTGCCCCATCAATTCTAACTTAAAGGTGGAATTGAGCATATCATCTAAAAATAAACATTTTAAATGGAGCTTTGGACTTGTCACAATCCACTATTTTTAGAAATATCAGTGAAAGCAACCCCTGGGAGTAAGGTATCTGATGGAAGAAGAGTATTTATTGGAAGGCTACTGGAGTACCTCAATTAATTAAACATGGCCACCACTAGCTCTTAAACTTTACATCATTAGAAATATTCTCTCAATTCAAGTTGAAAATCTTGCAAAAAGCTCAGACTAGCCTGGCTTGGGTCAGATGTGAACCCCTAAACTAGTCACAAAAAACCATTTAACTTCTGCAGGGACTCAAGGCTGGCAATGGAGGCACAATTGTCTCAAAGGGGGAGTGCTAAGCAAATACACAGATGCCTGCTACACACTCACACTGCATTTACAGGAAGTGTACTTCCTGGAAACTGTCAGTTTCCGTTAGTTAGTACAAAAAAACACATTAGTACACAGGATGGGCTAATAATCAAATGGCTAAAGATAGGAGTGATATGACCAGAGAAACAAAAAGTAAGGGAAGAGAAAAGTAACATGGAAAAACCAAGGAATATACAAACCACCCCTTCCCCCACCTGCTTACCTGTCATGATACCACATATGCATTTATGTAAAATTATTTGTGCACAGAGTAAAAATTTAAAACCAATGAATCTTTTTATTTTAGAAGAGTTCCATAGAAATTCACAAAAATGGTAGTTACCATACACTTCCTTACCCAGTTACTCCTATGTTTAACATCTCGCATTAGTAAGGAAAATTTTCATAATTAATGCACCAATAGTGATATTAACTCAAGTCTAGAATGTTTTCAAAGTTCTTTAGTTTTTTACCTAATGTTCTTTTCTGTTTTAGGATCCCATCCAGGATGCCACATTACATTTAGTAGTCATATCTCCTTAGGCTCCTCTTGGCTATGACAGTTTCTTAGTCTTTCCTTGTTTTTGATATTCTTGACAGCTTTGAAGACTATCCCTATCTTGAGAATTATTTTTTTTCCTCATGATTAGATCAGAGTTATGAATCCTAGGGAGGAAGACCATCTAGGTAATGTGGGTTCTCATCATATCACGTCCAGGATACTTGTTATCAACATAACTTATCACTGTTGGTGTTGAACTTGATCACATGGCTGAAATGGTATGATGAATTTTTAATAAGATAAAACCAATTACAATAACTTCAGAGATAGGACAAGGAAAGCAAAGATGCATTAGTCAAATTGTAATTTTATTTTTGTGGCTTCAAACTTTAAGGACATTACTTCTTATCTGTGAGAAGAGGAACTTTTAAAATATTGACTATCAATTACTAGCTATTCTAGAAATATTGGATGTCACAGGTAAAAGCTAATGTCTGCAGAATTGACAATTATCCTTGTCAGTCATATTATTCAAGTCCATTGAATACATTAAAGAAATACTTCTAAAAATCCATAAATTGCTGATATTTGCTACAAGTGGTATCTGAAGCAAGTCAAGCTAACTAAATTCTGTGAAAAGAATTTATCTGTTCATTAGTTTAAACAAGAGTAATAGTTTTATATGTTAATGTTAGTCCTTTGAGGTCCATTAAAGAAAATCTTGACAGCTGATGTTTTTAAAATTTTTTTTGTGACAAAGCATCATTACATATTTTAACTCGTATCATCTTCAACAGTGTCTAACCCCAAGAAAACAAGCTGATATTTGTTGTGAATTTATTTTTCAGATAAAGAATGTAAAATATAAGAAACTCAGGATGCAATCTAGTAGTAGTAAATGTTCCCACATGAAAAACTAAATGATACTAAACAATTTAAACAGAGGCAGGCAGTACATTTTGAAGTTTTCCCACATTAAAGGCTAAAGTAAGTATGATTTTGCTGTCTTCAGGAAAAATTATTCAATTAAACATACAACACCCTATTTTTCAAAACAGTGTGACAAATTGAGTATGAGAGTTTATGAGGACATTTCTATAGTATGTCATCAAATGGGAGGGAGACTCTCACATGGGGTCTGCGATCAGGTAAGCAGAAAGTTTGGCATACGGCTATCTTCCACTCTTCACAATGCACATAAATTAAGCTTCCTTAATAAAGAAATGTACCTATTTAACTTTGATTGACTATGTGTTTCTCAAGTATATTTCATCAAGGAACCCTTCTTATTATGACTTACATTTGTATACAAAGGAACTGATGTTCTATGGGACATGTTTTCAGAAATGCTAGTTGGTGGCTCACAAATACTATAATCCTATTGGTGAGTAATCAACAACTGCAATACATTTTAATATGTGATACATCTCAAATGATTTTTTATTTCTTCCTAGAATTAATATCAAATACAGAAATCCTACCCACTTTTACTCTCTTTAAAAACCATGCTGATGTGTGTTGGGGATGTAGTTCAGTGGCAGAGCACCTGCTTGGCATGGGTGAGGCCCGGGTTCAATCCCTGGTACAAAAAAAAAAAAAAAAAAAAGTATATAAAAAAATCCCAAAACATGTTGATGAAAAAAAATGGAGAAATGCTATAAAGATATTACTCTAGTACTGAAAGCATACAGCATAACAATAATAAATGCTTTAAAGCATCTTACAGAGGACAGGAGGACTGTCAACAAGAATGACTGTGAAAAGGAAGGAAATTACTGAGTTATCTCTAAATATACTGTAATTTACATTATTTTCCTAAAAAAATGAAAAAGAGGCTGAGTGTGGTAGCACATGTCTGTAATCCCAGGTATCAAGAGGCTGAGGCAAGAGGATTACAAATTCAAGGCTGACCTCAGCAATTTAGTGAGACACTTTCTCAAAAGAAAATCAAAACAAAACCAAAAACCAAAAAGGGGTAGGGATATAGCTAAGTGGTTAAGAACATCTGGGTTCAATCCCCAGTACCATAAAAGAATCCCAAGTACCATAAAATAAGAAGAACTTTAAATAACTTTGTGTTCTCAATGTTGCACACTAAATGTAATAATATAGAAAATTAGTCTATTGGTAAATTATTCACAGGCTGCAGTTCATTTCCTTAAAGCCTTAGTGTTCCCTCCCAAATTTAATCTTCATCCATGAGATACAGCATGTTTTTTTTTGTTGTTCAAGATTTTTCTACTTGATATGTCCACTTTACTTTATATAGCATTTTCTAATTTAAACCATGTGATTAGCAAATATCTTTTAAGTCCTGATTCAGAAATCTAGTACATTATAGATAGAATGAAAAAATATATGTCTTAAACATAAATACATTTTGCCTAAATATCATTTCTTTTTTGGTTATTCAATACAAAAATATATATTTCAAACACTTTAAGATATCTGAGAAAATGTACCATAGAGAGGTTCATTTCTCAGTGAGTCTGAGAGATCCAATTATAGTGCAGCAACATAAGCCTGGGGCTGTGGGTGCACTTTCCTCTTCTGCCAACTCACACTGACCCCAAAAGGCAATGTGAAGAAAAAAGCAGGCTTCAAAGAACATAATAATTAAAGATAAGGCACTGAGCACCTTTTACAATGTTGTAATAAAATATCCATTAATTTTTCTGTATGAAAATCTGGGAAAAAAATGAAAGGCAAAACTAAATATAAAAAGAGTTAAGTGATAAGTCTTTATGTAATCAGTCTTATCTGATTAGTGAAAAAAAACTGATAAAAAGCTGAGCACAGCCTCCCAGAGACTAGAGGCTGAGGCAGGAGAATGCAAGTTCTAGGACAGCCTGGGTAATTTAGTGATACCTTGTCTCAAAAAAAAAGGACTGGGGATGTAGCTCAGTGGTAAGCGCCCCTGGGTTCAATCAATCTGCAGTTCCACAAAAAAAGGAAAAAAAAAAAAAGATATAAAACTCTCTGAGGTTATATGAAAGCTCATGGATTCTCTTTCTGCCAATAGCATTGTTTGCTATGGTAGCTTCTTAGATGTTCACCTTAATTTTATATTATAGACTGATGCATGCAGTCTTATATTAACATCAATAACTCTCTATTAATATACTGATACTGCTGTATTCAGTGTCATGTCATCACAGTAAATTATATTTCATCATAAATAAAAATACAGAAAATATATTTTATCAAATTGAGTTTTGAGCTTTTAAAAATCGTATCTAATCACTTACCTTCAAATGTGAAAAATCTAGTAATTTGCAAAGGGTTTTCTTGTCACTAATATGAATTAATAATGCTATACCTAATTTCAAAAGCAATTATTTTTTAAAAATGGGTCATATACCAATAAAGGTTAGCATCAGCCAAATGCTTCTGGCATACCATGGGCAAAAGGCCAACTCTTCAGTGATATGTAAAGGTCACTTTAAGAAAAATCTAAATAAAAAATTACTCTCAAAAATATCTTGTCCATTAGAATTAGTTTACAAATGGAAATCTAAATTTAATGAGATGAATTTAGGCCCTTGGATTAGAATCTCACAACCAGAAGAACAGTTTTAACAAGAATTCTTATGATATTGTTTTAACCATTGATTTGAAAAATTCTGTTGAAACAATATATGAAAAAAAAAACACTACAGAGGTAAAAGATGTTGCATCTACAATTAAAAACTATTCCTTTTAAAAAGACACAAATACCAAGCATTCTACTTTCCCACCCCTAGAAATTCCATGATAAACCATAAATGGGGGAAAAAATGTCAAGGTTAAACTTGCATATAACTATTGACTATGACACCCCTGGCAATAGCACTACGCGTAAGACAGTATACTGCATACTGAAGAAAAATGACAAGAACTTGCAAGTATTTTTCTAGTAGAGCTTTAGTCAATTTGAAATAAGATACCCTAATTGTCTTATAAGTGATATTATTGAGCAGTTAGAACTGCTACAAAACCAGTGCTGAGAGCTGATATATATTTACAGTGCCATGTGGTGAGCCCTTCAAGTTCAGCCACACCAGTGATTTTGGATGCCACCACTACCGCCCTCACAGAAGCATGATCTTCTTCGGGCATATGGGGAGTGGTACCTTGATGATCAGATTGTGACAAGTGCTCTGAAACATCACTGAGACAAGCAGCCAGCTAAAAGAAAACAAAATGAGAACGGAGAATGCTTTTCTATAGACATCATTACTGTTTCACAATGATTGAACAATCTTAAAAGAAAAAGAAAGAAAAGGAAGCTCCTTTATCCCAGATATCCTATAAGTTCAGAATTCAAAATATTATTTTTTCTACAGAAATATACAATGCATCAAAATGCATTTTCCTATTGAATCCTTAATGGGATTTTAGATGAGCAGGAGAGAGAATCCAGATGCTAAATGAAGGTTTCCATAACATCATATGAGATGGCTTTTGGGTTTGCCATACAGTCTGAGTTTCTTTGTTGTGAGCAGCTGTGCCAGGCCATTGAGAAACACCAGAAAGATGGTCATGGACATGACAATCACATAGTGGCTAATGCTGTAAAAGGAGAAAAATATGCAATCATTAGAGAAAAGAACACATGAGGAAGAGCACAAGATTCCTAAAAACGTTTTAAAACGGATATATCAATACATGGAATTACAAAGGTAACGATGATTTCAAAATAGAGACCAAAATATTTTTTTTTAAATCCAAACTTGTTATATAGTAATATGAGTACTGTATGTACTTATTATTAACAATAATAAACTATATAATAAGATCAGATTATGATTTCCAACCTATATTAATGTACCTATTTCACTGACATAGTCTCAGAATTGCAAACTTGGGACTTAATGGATTAATTTCTACTGGTGACAAAGTCACAGGAACTTGGTAATGTATACTGGACATTAATAATGCATACTGATTACATATTAATATTAATTCCAATAACACAAACTACCATTATGCTAAAATAGTGATGAAGATATTTTGATATATCTGTAACAATTGTAATGTTATAAAAATGTCTGTTATATGTTATAAAAATTATATTATATAACATATAAAATAAAAATATTTTATTATTTAAATTTATTATAAAAAATAACATGTAAAATAAAAAAATTATATAACATATAATATAAAAATATATTACATAACATATAACAGATAAAAATTATTTATATAACAGAAAAAAATTATTTATAACATATAACATATAAAATTTAGCAGTTCCTGTGACTTTGTCACCAGTAGAAATTAACCCATTAAATCCCAAGTTTTCAATTCTGAGACTATTTCAGTGAAATAGGTGCATTAATATAGGTTGGAAATCATAATCTTATTATATAATTTATTATTGTTAATAATATTTTAATGAATATTATCACTAATAATTCACTTATTACTTTTTATAAAAGAATAAAACTCTAAGACCATAAATACTTATTTTGAAGTTACCATAAGTGATGTATTTGTTGCTCAATTTAAATTTTTTAGGTGTTCCATAAGTGGGACAATAGGACATCTGGGTTAAATTTCGAAAACTTGTAAGAAAAACGAAAATGATCTTTTTCCCAATTCTTGAACCCTGTGGATTCTATCCACAGAATCCCCAAAGATGTCCCTAGGTTAAGTATTCTGACGTTTTAGAGCATGCCATCTTATGCTCTGAAGTAAGTATGGAAGTACTTTGTCAAAACTAACAGTCACTGTAAGTAAAATTTATAACAAAAAAATCCCATTATTATGTACAATTATAATGCACCAATAAAAAAAAAATGGGGGGAAAAAACCCTTTAAACTACCAGTCACTAAGAAAGAAAAACATTACCCAAGCTCAAGTTTTAGTCAAGAAATTTTAGCAAAGGAGAAACAGACACATCTCTTCATTAATCTCATAATCAAAAGCTATTATCTTCCAGACTATCAGAAAAAGAAGAGTGATACTATTAGAATTTCTTCATTCCTATCTATCAACAATAGCACATTCTGTTTTCCTTTTTAAACACAGTACTTATACATTGCATAGAACATATTAAAAAATTTTCAAAGAATGGAAAGAAATGTAGGTTACAGATCTGACAAAGGTACAGTAGGGGGGAGAGGCTTCATGAAGTGACACTAGTACAGTACTGCCCATACTAAGCTAAGGTGTATATTGTAAAGTTATTTCTTTTCAATGCCTATCAGTTACATTTAACTATTTACCTTTACAATGGATTTGCATAAATATATATATATGTATATTTTAACACTGTTCAACAAAGAGTGGGGAACAATATTTTAGCAGGCCTACAACACAGCTAGTGAGGAAGGGAGGTCATATTTTCTTTCCCTTCTCTCATCTACCCCCAGCAAATGGGAGAATAGTTTCCTTCCTACTTTCCCAACCACTTCAACTTCATAGCTCAGCAGCCCCCAATGTGCCAAATTGCTGGATTTAGGTCAGCTTTACCATGTTGTCATGTCTTTGCTTATTGGTAAGACTCTCAAGACCAAGAAAGAAGGGCTTTCTACTTCGTGCAATTTTTTTTTTTTTTTAAGTAATGTTACAGTTTTTAAGAGCCTCCAATGGTAAAGTTTTAGTCTGACAAAACTGTCTTTGGAAAGGCTGAAGATCCTTATTTAGAATTTCTCTAGGCTTACCCTGTAAAGTAAATATGAAACAAAAAAGGAAGAGCTGGAAAATGAAACAGCAAGGATTATAACCAGTTACGTTAGAAATCTGGCTCTGGTCTAGGATAGACTCCTTACCCAAGAAGAAAACAATAAAATTAGATCCTTAATTGATGAACAAATATCAACACTAAAGGCAGTTTTTAAAAACTATTGTTTTCACTGTAAAAGTAATGTAATAGGTATTAGACATGAATTTTTCTACTTAAATTTATCTTAGTGTATGTGCATATTTTTTTTTTTAACCTAGAATGAATATGATTCGGATCTTACCTTCTATTTAATTAAATTACTGATAATTATTCAAAAATAAAAACAACTATAAGACTATTATTATCTAGATGTGCTGGGAATAAAATTATATAGAAATTTATTTTAACATAATACTTTGGAAAACCTCATGCCAAAATAAACAAGATCGTTAAAATTAAGTGAGCCATACTGACATTTCATTACACAGAATTTGGTATATTGGTAAATGGATCTTACTTTAAAAGTTTTCCCAAGCAAGGTAACTTAAGTTCATCAAGGCACATGGATGCTGGGAAAATGAGATGAAGTAGGTGTGCTATCCCCTACTCCTCCTGCTAAGTACAACTAAACATTTTGGACATTATATAAAACTAACACAAGAAGACTCCAAATGGCAGAAAGAAGGTGGCAGACTGGCTAGGGCTCCTAGAACCCATGGAATCCACCAATGTGGGTTTTCTTTTTGTCTCATATGTATCAGCTTGCAGAAAGTATAAGCCCTTGGGGTTGGGGCTGTGGCTCAGTGGTGGAGTGCCTGCCTTGCACCCATGAGGCACTGAGTTCGATCCTCAGCACCACATAAAAAAATAAATAAAGATTAAAAAAAGAAAGAAAGTATAAGCCCTATGGAACTAGGAGCCATCAACTTTTATCTTTTTCCCCCATTGCATCTCTAAGGCCCTTTGGACATTCAATTGATGTCTATTATATGAAGAGGATAATTTGTAATTAAAATAAATAATAAAATATTCTTTTGTTTTATATTACCTCAGCAGATTTAATAAATCAGACTTCCCTAAAAGAGTAGTCATAATCAAAATTAAATGTTTAAAAAAATTTAAAGAAACAAAAGAATCTCTAGTAAAATGAGTCTTATGAGATATTAAAACATGAAGTGAGGGCTGGGGTTATGGATCAGCGGTAGAGTGCTCGCCTAGCATGTGCAAGGCCCTGGGTTTGATCCTCAGCACCACATAAAAATAAATAAAATAAAGGTATTGTGTCCAACTACAATTGAAAAATAAATATTTAAAAAAACATGAAGTGAAGTATATTGCTGGTATTAGAATCATTACTTAGAACAATGGATGAGAACAGAAAGCCTTGTCACACTATAAGACAATAAGATAAAGGAATAACTGTGAAAACTCAAAACTGCTCTGACTGGACTCACTTTAAATTTGTAAGCAAGACTAGGATTTTTTTTTTTTCTCATCAGTGGCAGAGAACTCTAAGGTTGACTTCATAATTACCACAGAAATCTTCAACTCTATTGTATCTCTCAGACCTAACAGGACATTTAAAATTTGTTGACCAGTTCCTGAGGTCAAAATCTTCAACTCAATAAACTGCCTAAAAAGTTACAATTTCATGCTATAAAAATGTTTATTTCCCAGGCTGGGGACCTAAGTCTATATTCAAGTGGTGAGATGACTAAGTTAAGGGAGTACAAAGTGCTCATTAGAGAGCCTAAAAGATCAAATACAGGAAAGCTCCATTTGATTTTGGAAACCAGGCAAGAAGGCTGGGAGCTGGGTAAATGAAGAAAAGTACAAGGAATATAATGTAAAAGACTACATTATGGAATGGATAAACAAAATATCAGCACAATGGATCACTATTTAGCAAAGGAAAGGAACAAAGTATTGATATAAGCTACAATATAGATGAATGTCCCTCACCCCCAATCATTACACAAAGTGAAAAAAATCAGGTGCTTATATGAATTGTCAAATCCCTGAGGGCAGAAAATAGATCAGCATGGATGGGTATATATATGTTTCAGTGGTAAAGCATGGGCCTCACATACAGGAGGCCCTGGGTTTAATTCCCAGCACTATGAAGGAAAAAGAGAGAAGGAGAGAGGGAGGGAGGGGGAGATACAAGGCTGATTAGTGGTTGTCTAGGGCTGGGTATAGGAAAGGGGATAGATTGTAAACAGGTTCAAGGGAATGTTTTGGGTGATGAAAATGTTCAAAGACTAGATTACAGTGATGGTTGTATAACTCTAATAAACTGCTAAAAATTACTGAAATGATTTTAAAATCATTTGAGTAAGTCAAAACTTTAAACTGGATGAATTGATGGTATATAAATTATATCACAATAAAATTTCTAAGAGATAGAAAGAAAAAGCTACATGCCAGCAGATTTTTGTTCTGTTAAATTTTGTTACTATTTTAAGGTCAAAATGTTATGGCTGACTTTATCTCTTTTAACAAAAATGTTTTTTAAAACCAGTAAGTGACCCATTCTCAAATTTAATGAAAGTCTATCTATGGAAGGCATTCATACCACAGATCACTTATCTTCTTACAATGGCCTGAAATTACTGACTCTTGGCTCATTTAAACTAACATCATTGGCAGAAGACAGCTGTAAAGCTCATCAGCATCATGTCATTGAGCCGTAAGGCATCCAGCTCGTGATATTTTGCATCAGTCAAGTCTTAGTGTCATCTAAGCATTAGCAGAGTTAAAGGAACATGAAGTCTCAACTTGAAATGAATTCAGCTGTTTCCACTCTCCCCCAACTACACAAACATCATTTAAGTCAGCAGTTCTCAAGGTGTAATATGTGATGGAAGAGAAGGACAGTGTACCAGTGGAGGGGCATAT